AAGAAGACTGCCAAAAAGTGTCTGATGAATGAAGCAACAGAAAGGGAGGGGAATGATTTTCTATTTTTTAGCTAACATACGTGTAAATTTTACCATATTCCTAGTAATGACCCTCGTATTGTAGATAGTCTTAATGACCCTCGTGTAGTAGATAGTCTTTTTAGTATGATAATAAGATGTTATCTTCATTGTAGAATGATAAGGTGTGGTGTGGGTCGAGGTGTGGTGTAGGTCGAGGTGAGGTGTGGGTCGAGGTGTGGTGTGGGTTGAGGTGTGGTGCGGGTCCAGGTGTGGTGTGCGTCGAGGTATAGTTTAGGTCAAGGTGTGGTGTGGGGCGAGGCGTGGTGGGGGGTCGAGGTTGGTGTGGGTTTAAGGTGTGGTGTGGGTCGAGATGTTTGGGGTGGGTCGAGGTGTGGTGTGGGTTGAAGTGTGGTGTGGTCGAGGTGTAGTGTGGGTCGAGGTGTTTGGGGTGGGTCGAGGGTGTGGTGTGGGTCGAGGTGTGGTGCGGGTCAAGGTGTGGTGTGTGGGCCAAGGTGTGGTGTGGGTCAAGGTGTTGGGGTGGGCCAAGGTGTGGTGTGGGATCAAGGTGTGGGGTGGGTCAAGGTGTGGTGTGGTCAAGGTGCGGTGTGGGTCAAGGTGTGGTGTGGGTCAAGGTGTGGTGCGGCTCAAGGTGTGGTGTGGGTCAAGGTGTGGTGTGGGTCAAGGTGCGGTGTGGGGCAAGGTGTGGTTTGGGTCAAGGTGTGGTGTGGGTCAAGGTGGGTGTGGATCAAGGTTTTGGGGTGGGTCAAGGTGTTTGGGGTGGGTTAAGGTGTGGTGTGGGTCAAGGTGTGGTGTGGGTCAAGGCGTGATGTGGGTCAAGGTGTGGTGTGGGTCAATGTGTGATGTGGGTCAAGGTGGGGGTGTGAGTCAAGGTGTGGTGTGGGTCAAGGTGTGGTGTGGGTCAAGGTGTGATGTGTGTCGAGGTGTGTGGGTGGGTCAAAGGTGTGGTGTGGGTCAAGGTGTGATGTGGTGTCGAGGTATGGTGTGGGTCAAGGTGGGGGTGTGGGTCAAGGTGTGGTGTGGGTCAAGGTGTGGTGTGGTCAAGGTGTGGTGTGGGTCAAGGTGCGAATGTGTGTCGAGGTGTGGTGTGAGTCAAGGTGTGGTGTGGGCCAAGGTGTGGTGTTGGTCAAGGTGTGATGTGGGTCAAGGTGTCGTGTGGGCGGGTTTGTGGTGTGGGTCAAGGTGTGATGTGGGTCAAGGTGTGGTGGGGGTCAAGGTGTGGTGTTGGTCAAGGTGTGATGTGGGTCAAGGTGTGGTGTGGGTCAAGGTGTTGGGGTCAAGGTGGGATGTGGGTCAAGGTGTGGTGTGGCCAAGGTGGTTGTGGGTCAAGGTGGGGTGTGGGGGTTTCAAGGTGTGGTGTGGGTCAAGGTGCGATGTGTGTCGAGGTGTGGTGTGAGTCAAGGTGTGGTGTGGGCCAAGGTGTGGTGTTGGTCAAGGTGTGATGTGGGTCAAAGGTGTCGTGTGGGCCAAGGTGTGGTGTGGGTCAAGGTGATGATGTTGGGTCAAGGTGTGGTGTGGGTCAAGGTGTGGTGTTGGTCAAGGTGTGATGTGGGTCAAGGTGTGGTGTGGGTCAAGGTGTGGTGTGGGTCAAGGTGGGATGTGGGTCAAGGTGTGGTGTGGGCCAAGGTGTGGTGTGGGTCAAGGTGTGGTGTGGGTCAAGGTGTGGTGTGGGTCAAGGTGTGGTGTGGATCAAGGTGTGGTGTGGATATTGATGTGGGTCTGAGTGTAAGTGTTATATAGGGGTAGCAATATTTATAAGTCTTATCCTGCAAGCAAAACTGTTGATTCTTCTTCACTCGGGCCTCACCGTACCTTAACCTGAAACCATATAACGAATTTGCCTCCCCTACTTCCTCATCTAACTGCTTCCACTTACTAACTAACCTGAAACTGAAGAACTAATTCCTAGCATACCTGTAGCTAATCTAAACCTTCGACATCATCTCTAGGTTAATCTTGTTGCCAGATTTTAAACCCTCTCAAGGTTCTGATTGACCAGGTGTGGGCTGGAGCCACATACTCTTCGACAGGCTTGACATGTTGCAGACAGCGACTTAGATCACATACTCTTCGACAGGCTTGACATGTTGCAGACAGCGACTTAGATCACATACTCTTCGACAGGCTTGACATGTTGCAGACAGCGACTTAGATCACATACTCTTCGACAGGCTTGACATGTTGCAGACAGCGACTTAGATCACATACTCTCGACAGGCTTGACATGTTGCAGACAGCGACTTAGATCACATACTCTTCGACAGGCTTGACATGTTGCAGACAGCGACTTAGATCACATACTCTTCGACAGGCTTGACATGTTGCAGACAGCGACTTAGATCACATACTCTTCGACAGGCTTGACATGTTGCAGACAGCGACTTAGATCACATACTCTTCGACAGGCTTGACATGTGCAGACAGCGACTTAGATCACATACTCTTCGACAGGCTTGACATGTTGCAGATAGCGACTTAGATCACATACTCTTCGACAGGCTTGACATGTTGCAGACAGCGACTTAGATTCCGAGAAATTATCATGTCTATTGTGTCATGTTATCTAGCGTCGGTAATTTTAGTGCTATCTTCTATCTTTTATCTTTTATCTTTTATTCACAATTTTTAATGTGTGAGAGATACAAAGTAGCTGATATGTTGGCTTAGTTGATATGTTTTTACGAGACAAAGAGAGGAATAAAGAAGTGGAGAGGTGGTAGTAGAGGTACTACTGGTTGTAGTACAGTAGTAGTAGTAGCAGTAGTAGTAGTAGTAGTAGTAGTAGTAGTAGTAGTAGCAGCAGTAGTAGCAGTAGTAGTAGTAGTAGTAGTAGTAGTAGTAGTAGTAGTAGTAGTAGTAGTAGTAGCAGCAGCAGCAGCAATAGTAGTAGTAGTAGTAGTAGTAGTAGTAGTAGTAATAGTAGTAGCAGCAGTAGTAGTAGTAGTAGTAGTAGTAGTAGTAGTAGTAGTAGTAGTAGTAGTAGTAGTAGTAGTAGTAGTAGTAGTAGTAGTAGTAGTAGTAATAGTAAGTAGAGGGAGTAGTGGTAGCAGCACAAAACATCAAGCTAACTTTTCGCCCTTCACGACAAGACATAAATTGAGAAAACAAAATAAAACAAACTTTCGGGTTTTCATAAAACAAAAAAAAAACTGGAGCAGAGAAAGAGGTTCCCGTCCAGTGTTTACGAACGAGAGAATTCTCAAAATGTCGCTAAACGTTTCGACTTGAATACAGCTGTCGTGGTAAAAATATATTTCTTGTTAATTTTTGATGCGTGTATACTAGAAAACGTTTCGGTCCTTGGACCTTGACCAAAACAATTTCTGCTAAATATGTCCTAGTGTTTACTTACGTAATTTGTCGGTATCTCTTATCGTGGTTTATACCGAGATATTTACCCCCATTACTTGTTTACCTCTTCCATAGTATTGTTCCATAGTCTTGAACATTGTTCCAGACTATGAAAATATGTTCCAGACTATGAAACAATGTTCCAGAATTTGGAACAAAACTCTTCTCCAGGCTGAGGGACTGACCGCCTCAAAACTACGTCTTCAAGGCTGATTGACTAATGACATCGTCTTCACATCTCTACTGCTTCTGCTGGCTCCTCGGTACTCGACTGGAGAAGCCTACTGTGTAGTCGAAACGTTTCGGAATAAAGCTACCTAACTGTTGCACATATGTCTTAATTGACATTCTTTCTATTTATTTTGGTTTATTTGTGTTGTTAGCTTCCATTTATGGCCCTTCGCCCCTGTGTACCCTATTTCAAACCTTCTGTCCCTATTTCAAACCTTCTGTCCCTATTTCCTCTGTCAAATTCTCTGAGTATCTTATACATTCTAATCATGTCTCCCCTAATCCTTCAGTCTTTTAAGTCACCAGGTTCAGTTGCTGAAGTCGCTTTGTAAACGATTCAGAGAGCCGACAAGTTGATAAATTAGACAGATGTTTCGCCTAACCTATAGGCGTTACCTACCTCCACCTGTGGATTTGTCCAAGGTGACGCCGCCTACGACTGCTTCACCTGCTTCACCTCACCTGTCTACAGTATATAAGGCACTTCGCGCATTGATGGACTGGTTACATTGACTCTAGATTGAGGGACTCATTACCTCAACGTCTCGATCTTCTCCACTCTTATTGAAGAACAAAAGGGAACAATACAGAGGAACAATACACAAATAACCTGCACATAGAAGAGAGGAGCTTACGACGACGTTTCGGTCCGATTTGGACTATTTACAAAGCCACACTAACAGGCTTCTTCTCTCTTTCCTCTTAGTGTGACATTGTAAATGGTCCAAGACTCACGAAATCGTAATGACTCTGATCGCGGGTTCTATCCCCGCCCGTGGTATGGTTTAAATGGTCCAAGTTGGACCGAAACGTCGTGGTCAGCTCCTCTCTCCTATGTGCGGGTTATTTGTGTGTTTTCTTATTTGTTTTAAAGGAGAAAAGGAATTAAAATTTATTCGAAAAAAATTCTCCTAAGATATTTAGAAAAAAAATAGCTGTAATCTTAATAAAAAAGGCCTCCTCTCTCCAGGGTTTTGAGCTTCAAATAAAGTGTAATAAAAAGGTTTCTCCTTTGCTGAGACATGATTAAGAAACATGACACACGTCAGATATAGCGTAACTCACTTCAGACAAAACATGATTCTCATCTGGCCAAAAATAACATGACTTGTTTGGCAGGATAAACTAGGACGTCATGAGTATTGTGATCATAGCTACGTGGAAAGCATTAAACCCACATGAATCACAGCTTCTGAACACACGAAATAATCAAATTAATACTGATTATCTCTTAAAAAAGAGAGATAATTACATGGGTTGTGTTGTTCGTTGTTCACAAAATGAACAACATAACCGACCCCTCAGGAAAAAAATTATGTAATCAGTTAATTCGTTGTTCATCTTAGCAGAAAAATACCAATGAGTTATTTCCTGATGCTGGGTATATAAGGGATGCTGGAAGGGAGGTGTTTGCCAGTAGCACAAGACACTCTCTGGGATACACAAGTACTCTTCGGTACTTGGTACACTTCTTCACGTCCACTTGGCAGCAGACATGAGGTAAGTGAAGACGTTTTCCTTCAGAGTATAACTCCTGCAGAGTTAATACAGGATAACTCAAGAAAGTGCACCTTTGTGGCTTATTGGTTCTTAGATACTTAGAGGAAGGTGAAGATTATGAGTGGTCTGTAAAGAGGATAATTGACCTTTAACCTGTGCAAGGTAGAGCTTTAACAGCCCAACTATGAGAATGATATTTATTATATACATATAATATATAATAGCAATTCGCAAACAGGCGAAATTATTTACAAACATTATCTCTTAGTCCACAGCAGAACTAGAACTGGAAGTACTCACAAGTGAGGACCCACTAGAGGTGAGGGGAAAGTGGGGATAGTTGAAGAATAGATTGGGGAGAGGAAAGAACTACAGAGATAGGAAAAGAGTCAGGGCTAAACCCAACAGCAAAGACATTGTAAGGCATTATTGAAGGCTTGTTGTGCCTGTGCTCCTGGTCTCTCCTCTTCAACACGACTGGTCAGGCAAGGTTGGCAGAAGATCGGACTGTGTTATGGCGCCAGATGACTCACGTCTATGGCTGTGGTATTTAAAAGTGAGGATGGAAATATTAGGAATTTTAAAGCAAATGATGATAGTTGTTTTAAATCCATATAGGCATTAAAGCAGCAACAAAAGTGGTTTAGTGATGGCTTAAGTGTAAAGTGGTTGAGTAAAGGATTGTAAAGAGTTCTGAAGAGGTTTTGAAGATTGTGAGGGCGTCTGATAGTGTTAAAGAAGTCCAATAGTCATGGTGAGTCTGAAGTCTACAAGTCTGTCTGTCACTTAGTGTTCTCTAGAAGACGTTCAGAGCTGGTGTGCCAGTCCTGAGGTGGAGTGACTCGCTCGTGGCATAGTCCTGCCACTTCACGTCAAGCACTCAGTGCAGTGCCCGGTTCTGCATTCATTGTAGCCACAGAACATTAATCTTTGCAGTCAATGTTAGAGCAGGTGGAGTGTAAATGATGAGGGGTCTTATAAGAGCCGTGTATACGTGGAATTTTGTGGTAAGACGTGCACATCTCAGCCTATAAAGCCGAGAGAGTGAAATCCTTGCCACATGTGTGAGGTTTCTTAAGTAACTTGTAATCAAGGTTGACACCAAGTACGACTGTGGAAGATGTGATGGTTCTGAGATCAACAGGAGCAGAGATGCCTCGTCTGTGATGGAAATATGTGATTTTAGGCTTGTTGACATTGGTCTGTATTCACCATAATAGTTCCTATGCGCTAATCCTATCCACCTCATGCTGTGTTCTGTGTGCAGACCACAGTAGAATTCGAACCTGCAAACTCGGCATTTGAGTACATAGTACTCTGATGCCGAGTACATAGTACTCTGATGCCTTGGGGTGCACAATAAACTAGCCACTACCATCCGCAGGATGGATATGAGGTACACAATAAACTAGCCACTTCGGCGACAAAATCTAATCTAATTTCCCTCTCTCCCACGTACTTTTACACATTCACAAGCTCTCTCATACCCACTCTCCCTCTCTCTCACCAACACTCAGGGTGTTAGCGTGCTCGTGGTTGTTGGTGACAGCAGTGGTGGTGGCGGTCCTGGTGGAGGCAACCTCGGCAAAAGTCTACGGGAAGTGCGAGCTGGCCAGAGTGCTGGAGCAACAATACGGTTTACAACGACAAGCGATTAAGAACTGTACGGATTTCTGACTTCATTCTTCCTGTGACTTCATAGTTTACGCTTTTACACACTTAATGAATAAATAAATGAGTTATATATATAACAAAATCTAAGTCTTGAAATTTGATTTGAAGTATTTTCATGAACAAGTGAAAAATTTGGAAATAAAATAATAAGTACAATCAAGGTGATGTCATGTTACTCACACTGATTTTAGCCTTGATTATTGATGTCTGATGTCCAGTAATATTGACGTTTGTGTTGATGGTTGATGTTTTGTTTCTCTCTCTCTTGACACTAATTCTTTTGCAACCAATCTCCACCACTGCATGATACCACTACCAGAAATACAACCGTCCAACAATCACCACCACACTACCACAACAACAATCACATACCATCACCACCAACCACAAAACCACAGCCTGAATAAGCCATAAGTGCAGCATTCGGGCATATCTTCACTGGGGAGACGGTTTGCCAACCAGTATCTTCATCAATCCAATACCAAGAAAATACCCAAATGATCAGCATATGTCTTATTAAATCCACTGTATTGCACAGGTGTCTTATCCACTGTATTGCACATGTGTCTTAGATATCTATTTCTCGTCTTTGTATATCATTAACATATAACACTACAGGGGTGTGTATCGCTGAGTTTGAGTCAAGCTTCAACACTGCTGCTATCAACTACGACAACGTAGACGGTAGCAAGGACTACGGCATCTTCCAGATCAACAGCATGTACTGGTGTCACGATGGAACCCCAGGTGGCAAGAATATCTGTGGAATTCGCTGTACAGGTGAGAGAGAGAGAGAGTCAGAGAGTGAGTCCTTCCTTTTTAGCAGCGAGAACAGTGTTGTTTCTCCTGATATTGAGTACGATGGATAAAACCTCTATTTCTCCGTACATCGAATAACCTAGTCAGGTTCACCGAATAATAATAATAATAATAATAATAATAATAATAATAATAATAATAATAATAATAATGATAATAATAATAATAATAATAATAATAATAATAATAATAATAATTCGCCTGGTGGGTAACCTGGTACTCTTGTTTCAGATCTACTGGGTGATGGTTTGAGAGATGACATCTCTTGTGCCCAAAGGATCTACAGTGCTCAAGGATATTCAGCCTGGTTAGTATTTATCTATCTATTTATATCTATCTATCCATCTATCTATCTATCTATCTATCTATCTATATATATATATATATATATTACGATGGTTCTTAATTCTGTCCACAGGGTCGCTTATAACAACAACTGTCGCCATATTGATCTGAACACTTACATGGCCGAGTGCTGGGGTGCAACTGGAAGAGGCTACAACGATCTTTAAGATGGTGATGCTGGGGAGATTTTCTACGGTGCTGGGGAGACTGTGTGGTACTGAAAGAAGACTGTCTACGGTACTGGGGAGACTCTATGGTACTGAAAGAAGACTGTCCACGGTACTGGGGAGACTCTATGGTACTGGGGAAAGACTCTCTCTCTAAGGTTCTGGGGAGAAACTCGAATGGTGCTGGGAGGAAACACTCCAGTAATTTAACTTGTTATAAGAAGGCACGTAATTGGTGACAACTTGACAGAAGTACCCACGAATATATTTACTTAGGACACCTTTATCTAAGATGCTTTAATTCGTGGACCTTTATGTATCCGACGTTATCAAGGTTCAAGGGCAGAAACGTCTTCAATAAAGATGTACTAAGAACAACAGTGGTGCTTCCCACTGGATCTAATGTTTACACTCACTTTCCAACGTTTCTAAATCACCTGCCCAGACCCACTGATATTTGCGACCCCTGTAGTTATGAATTTCATCTTCCAGCATTTGTACGCCAAGATAAAGAAATTATAACCACTTTCCAGGCTCCCTCTGGTCTGGAACCAGACCGTGTAGGCAGTAACCAAAGAAATGGGTCACAAGTAATCTTCAAATAATTTCTTTTATATCTCACAACATGTGTAATGAAGATCAAAATGGTATACAATACCGACAGGTTGGTAGGTAAGACACATAGGCACAGTTAGGCAACTTTATTTCGAAATAAAGTTGCCTAACTGTTGCCTATGTCTCTTACCTACCAACCATGTGTAATGAAGTACAATGCCTCACACCACACCAGTGCACTATTCTATACACAATTTTGTACATGTGTGGATTATTTGTGGGTTGTTCCTGTCACGGTATTGTGCCTTTATTATTCTTTAAGAGTATAAGAATGTTGGAACACAGCAACAGGCCTAAATGGCCCAAACTAGGCAGGTTCTTCACCATTCTATAGACATCAATACCCACGTCGTCTCTAGAGTTTGCTAGTGCTAGTGTGTGTTCAGTGAGACACAATAGGTAGCTTTGGGAAAAGATTAGACAGATAGGTATTGGGTGGGAATGGTTGAGTTTGAGAAGGACCTGTCGTGTATGGGCCAGTAGGCCTCCCGCAGTGTTCCTCCATTTTTATATCATAAAGAACATAAGAACATAAAAATGGAAGAACACTGCAGAAGGCCCACTGGCCTACACAAGGCAGGTCCCCATCAAAACCACCCCTACCCAAAGATACCCAAGAATATACTCACGTACCCAATGACACCAACCAAACCCAGTCCCTCCACTCATATATTTGTCCAATCTCTTTTTAATGCTACCCAAGGTCCTAGCCTCGATCACCCTACTCGGAAGATTGTTCCACCCATCCACAACTGTTCGAAAACCAGTACTTACCTATATCCTTTCTAAATCTAAATTTATCCAACTTAAAGCTACCCAGGTTTCGCATATATGTTTTATTCATCAACTTGTCGGTATTAATACCATTAAACCAGTTGCCTGTTTAACTGATGCTGGTATAAACCAGGTTAACAGATACCGACAAACTGGTTGAGAAACACACCTGAGCAAACACTTGGACATATTTATTACAGAACGTTTCGCTCCTGAGACGTTGATCAAGGTCCCAGGAGCGAAAGGTTTTCTAAAATGTTCTAGTGTCTATCTTAACTGAAGCTGTTTGACTGGATTAACCGAACAATGGACGAGGTTAAGTCGTCAATAATTACAACACCAAAGTCTATGTAATTAACTGAAAAAACTTTTTCATTTACAATGTTTTTGTTTACGTTTATGCTTACAATTCTTTTGTTTACAATGTTTTTGTTTACAATCTTTTTGTTTACAAAGCTTTTTTGTTTACAATGCTTTTGTTTACAATGTTTTTGCTTTACAAAGCTTTTTTGTTTACAATGCTTTTGTTTACAATGTTTTTGTTTACAATGCTTTTGTTTACGATGTTTTTTTTACATTGATTTTGTTTACGTTTCTGTTTTTGTTTATAGTGTTTTTTGTTTACATTTTCTTTACAATGTTTTTGTTTACATTTTGGTTACAGTGTTTTTTTTTTTACATTTTTGTTTACAATGTTTTTGTTTACAAATTTTTTGTTTACATTTTTGTTTACAATATATTTGTTTACAATGTTTCTGTTTACAATGTTTCTGTTTACAATGTTTCTGTTTACAATGTTTTTGTTTACAATATATTTGTTTACAATGTTTTTGTTTACAATGTTTTTGTTTACAATGTTTTTGTTTACAATGTTTTTGTTTACAATGTTTCTGTTTACAATGTTTTTGTTTACAATGTTTCTATTTACGATGTTTTGGGCGTAAACTTGAAGTTAATATTACTGTAAGAATCTTCACATATTTATTCTTCTTATCCTCTGTTTCTTCTTCTCTGTTTCTTCTTTTTATCTTTTCTCATCATTTTTTCTTGTTCTTTTCTTCCTCTTCTTTCGTTTCTTCTACTTTTTCTTCTATTCTTCTTTTCCCTCTCTTCTTTTCTTCTTTTTCTTCTTCTTTATCATTATTTTAATTTTCTTCTTCTTATTGTGTCTTTCTTTTTTCTCCCTTTTCATCTTTTTCTTCTTTTCTTCTTCTTTATCTTTTTTATATTCTTCTTTTTATTGTTTCTCATCATTTTTCTTGTTTCTTTTTTTCCTTTTCTTCTTCTTTCGTTTCTTCTCCTCCATTTAATTAATCACTAATACAATAAATTAATCAATAATTAAACAAAACAAATTAAATGTCAAAGAAAGCCATTACTAATTAAACAACAATTAAAAGACTTGCCTTTTACTGCACCCAAAATGTAAACCAGAGTAATAAAACTTAATAAACCACAGTTTTTTCCCCTAATTACCATTGCATGGTTTAGTTTTATTGTAATTTTAAAAGGCTCTTTACCTGTGGTGGCCCAGTGTCTAAATGGTCCTAAATGGTGTTGGTTTAATGTGTTTTAAAAGGCTATTTAAATTTAATGGCACAGACAGGGTTTAGGGTTTATGCGTTTTTAAAAGGCTCTTTAATTGCTGTGGTCCATTGTCTTAAATGGCCCAGAATAGAAAGTATTATATTCCCAAAACAGAGGCTATAAAGCCTTTGAAATGCTATAGAGCTGAATATTATTTTGTAAAGCTCTACAGAGTGAAACATGATTTAATAAAGCTCTACACAGAGTGAAACACATCTTGATAAAGCTGTACACAGAGCGAAACACATCTTGATAAAGCTCTACACAGAGCGAAACACATCTTGATAAAGCTCTACACAGAGCAAAACACATCTTGATAAAGCTCTACACAGAGCGAAACACATCTTGATAAAGCTCTACACAGAGTGAAACGCATCTTGATAAAGCTCTACACAGAGTGAAACGCATCTTGATAAAGCTCTACACAGAGTGAAACACATCGTGATAAAGCTCTACACAGAGCGAAACACATCTTGATAAAGCTCTACACAGAGCGAAACACATCTTGATAAAGCTCTACACAGAGCGAAACACATCTTGATAAAGCTCTACACAGAGCGAAACACATCTTGATAAAGCTCTACACAGAGCGAAACACATCTTGATAAAGCTCTACACAGAGCGAAACACATCTTGATAAAGCTCTACACAGAGCGAAACACATCTTGATAAAGCTCTACACAGAGCGAAACACATCTTGATAAAGCTCTACACAGAGCGAAACACATCTTGATAAAGCTCTACACAGAGCGAAACACATCTTGATAAAGCTCTACACAGAGCGAAACACATCTTGATAAAGCTCTACACAGAGCGAAACACATCTTGATAAAGCTCTACACAGAGCGAAACACATCTTGATAAAGCTCTACACAGAGCGAAACACATCTTGATAAAGCTCTACACAGAGCGAAACACATCTTGATAAAGCTCTACACAGAGCGAAACACATCTTGATAAAGCTCTACACAGAGCGAAACACATCTTGATAAAGCTCTACACAGAGCGAAACACATCTTGATAAAGCTCTACACAGAGCGAAACACATCTTGATAAAGCTCTACACAGAGCGAAACACATCTTGATAAAGCTCTACACAGAGCGAAACACATCTTGATAAAGCTCTACACAGAGCGAAACACATCTTGATAAAGCTCTACACAGAGCGAAACACATCTTGATAAAGCTCTACACAGAGCGAAACACTGTCAAATATTAGCAAGTTTCAGCAAATTTCTTTCTATTTA